TGTAAATAGGGAAGGGTGGAGGGGGTGAAGGGCACACAGGTAATGGGGAAAAAATAAGAACCAAGATACATCATGTACAGGTACAAACACCCAATGATAAATGGAAATGTATTGTATACCTAAATTGTACCAATAAAAGAATTTAAGGGGAAAAAAATGGTCAAGGAAAGCAGAGCCATGTTTTGAGACGCGAAGACCTGAATCACCTGGTAAATTATATGCCTATTTAAGCCTGAGACAATACACTTTGAAGAGACACTAGAAATAAAAATGGTGGGTTATCCACTGAGGTAATTCAGCACAGATAGGAAGGTTCTGGGAAAATCTCACCCTAGAACTTTTTATCACCATGTGTTAATTGTGCACATCAATGGGGGCTATATGTGATATTTTAATCATATAACAGCATGCATTGATCAAATCAGGGTAGTAGCATTTCCATGTCCTTATCATTTGTTTGTTTGGAGCCTTCAAGCTCCTCTCTTTTGCTTCTTCAAGAAGCTTGTAGTAAGTAGGTCCTTGCGAACTATAGTTGCACTTCTGCTTTGGAGCACTGGAACTTATTCCTCTTATTCTGGTGCCCATCATCTGACTCCTCTCTCCTTTCTAATCCCCAGTCATCACTATTCTACATTCAAGGTGACTTTCTTTAGCTTTTACATATGAGAGAAATCATGCAGTACTTGTCTTTCTGTGTCTGGATTATTTCACTTGATATAATATCCTCTAGTTCCATCCATCTTTATGCAAGTGACAGATTTCATTCTTCTTTGTGACTGAATAATATTCCACTGTGTACATATACCACATTCTCTTTATTCATCTGTTAATGGGCACCTCCACATCTTATCTATTGTGAGCAGTGCTGTAATAAATATGGGTGTGCCAGTGTCCCTCTATTTTGCTGATTGGATTTCCTTAGGCTATATACCCAGAAGTGGGATGGCTGGGCATAAGGTAGATCTGTTCTCAGGTTTTAAGGGAGCTCCCACACTTCTCCATGGTGTCTGTGTTCACCTGTACGCCCACCAGTGCTACATGGAGTCCTCTGCCTCCACATCCTCACCAGCACTGGTATTCTTTCTCTTTCTTGGTAGTAGCCATTCTACTTGGTGAGATAGTATCTCATTGTGGTTTTGTTTGCATTTCCTTGCTGGCTAGTGACAGTGACCATTTTAATACATACAGATATCACACACCTTCCCTGGCTCATTCCTGAGAACCAGCTGTTCTGCCTGAATCCCCAGTTACTTTAACTGGGGCTTTGTGATCAGTTATATCCACCTGAAATCCCAATGCATTTGTCAAGTGTGTGTAATCATGTCCGGCACACTGCGCTGCTCCCCAGCCCCAGGTGCCCTGTGGTGTGGGCAGAGAAGCCGGGTTGTGGTGGTGTCTGGGTTGCTGTGGCCTTGGCTTCGCCACCCTAGTCACACAGTGGGCCCCATCCATCGTGTCCACAGAAGCATCTGCCCTGTCGTCCTGGCCTCAGACTTCTCTGCCTAGGTGTGCATCTGTGTAGAAGGTGGCAACAAGCTGTCAAACAAAGCAATAGTCAGGACTTAGGGGCACAGGATGCCATATTGGTTTCCTGTCCTGTGTAATAAACACTACAATACAGATACAAAACACTACAAACTGGCTGTCCAGCATCACCTCTGCCCCAGGCTCAGACGTGGGTCTTCCTGGGCAGGACCTTCTGGAGGCCTGTGAGGATGGTGACTGGCCATGTCCAGCTTCTGCAGCCACGTTCCCTGCTAACCTTCAAACCTCACGGCAGTGGCCGTCCCACTCCCAGGCCGCCATCCCCCTTCTCTGTGGTAGCCTCACCCTCCCTCTCTCGCAGTGAGGAGAATGCTCTTTTGGACCATTTGTCAGTTCCCCAGGAGGCCCAGAGTCCCTGAGAAATCAACCCCCTGGCAGGGGAAGGCAGAGTGTGGATCAGGCGCAGGTGAGCCTCACAGCAGCATTCCTGCATGATCTGCTAAGCTGTGCAGAGCACATCCCACGTACCTGTCCACATCCAGCAGCTTGTCCACACAGACTGCACACACAATTGACTTGTGGTTTGCTTTGCTCTTCAGGGTCTCACAGCAGAATGTGGACACTGAGAGGCAGTACAGCCTGGAGAACGATGTGGCTCTGGCCAAGACTCTGCAGCGCTACCTGCCCTACTTGGAGGGTCTGTCCCACACCATGGCCTTGAATGCACACCAAGGGATGGTGCACGAGAAGCTGCCAGCCAAGGTGATGCCTACACCCTTTTTGTGCCACTCTCTCAGGGTAGGGCACCCAGGTGATGGGTGATTCATGACTGTGGTCCCTCTTGCTGCCTTCCTGGGTCCCTGCTGGGGTCAGTGCAGGGAGGGCCTGTGTTCAGGGACAGCTGCAGGGCTAGGGCTGTGTGTGCTCCCCTGGTGCTGGGGTGTCTGCACCACAGTGGTGTCACGGCAGCCTCAGGCAGGGCCCTGAGGAGCCCTTCTGTGGGACAAGTGGCCTTCAGGGAGTGACTTCTATGAGCACAGATGGGACACGTGGGGCTGGGCAGGAAGGGCCCAAGGTGACAGTGGGGTCAGCACGGATGGGCGATGCGGGGCTCTGGCGTGGCTGGAGTTACACCCTGGCACCCAGGGTCGTGATCTTGATGCTGCCCCTACTTATCATTTAAGACACTCGTTCCCGGGAAGAGCAACCTGGCTGGGTGACCAGGACAGCAGAGGGCTCTGCCTGCCGTGGGCACCGGGGTCTGGGCACCGGGAACGAGGTGAGTGTCCGAGATAGGCAGAGGGCAGGCAGGCTGGGGTGCTGACAGACAAGCTCTTGTTCAGGGGCAGGGCTGGGGACAAGCTCATTTCAGACCAGTGCAAAGGGCCTCAGGGTGTGCCAAGCTGTGCGGAGGGGTGCTTTAAACAAGGAGCAGTGTCAGGATCTCAGCAGCTTCTATATGGAAAAGGACGGTGATTTCTGTGACAGCCTCGGGAGGGTGCTGCCACACTGCATTGGGCAGGAAAGCACAGGGGACGGGCACAGGGATGGCCGTCTCTGGGGCCATCATCCAGGGCACCACCCTAACGTCTACCAGGATGCATGATTCTGGCCATCGTGGGGCTGGCAGGAAAGGGCCCGAGGTGACTGGTGTGCTGGGCGCTTGACAGTGGTGTTCGGAGCCTCTTTTCTGACAGCTGATGTGCCACTTAACCAAAATGAGACATAGCACATTTTTCTGAGACTGATGTGTGTTGCTGGCTGGGCAGGGATGCCTGGAACTCTCCCTGGACTGTGCTGGGATTTCTCAGAAGGTGGTGTAGGCTGGGAAAATGGTTTTACTATAATGGAGCCACTGCAATTGCTTAAGCTAACCCTGAGCAGGAGACTGGGCAAACCCTGCACTGAAGGTAAAATGCCTTAGAGGACATGACATGGAGGAGGTCCGCAGACCCATTTCGGATCCCGGTACTGGTGCAGAGCCATGTGTGTTCACAGAAGCTGGCTGCATCCAGCTCTGCTCTGAGCAGCCACCCTTAGGCAGAGGTCAGGCCTGAGCCCAGCCCTCCCCGAGAAACTCCTGTGAAGCTCCTCCTCCTTCCTCTGCCACCCACCCTCAAGTGAGATCACAGTGTGCTTTGTGGCAGCCTGGGCATGGCCACTGGGCTGAGTCCCAACACTGGCTCAGGTGCAGGCTGAGACCCCACCTTAGGGCTTGCTCCGGGGCCTCTGTTCTGTCTTTGTCTGTCTGCCCAGGTCTCCTGGTTTGTAGAGTCACTCCCTGTCAGCCAGAGTGGGGTCTTCAGCCCTCAGACAGCAGGTGACGGGGCTGCGGAGCTTGGAGGTAGAGAGCAGACGGTGCAGGGACATCCAGTGTGCCAGCACCCCACCCACTTCCACACAGACAGGGCTGGATGGAAGTCACATCCCGGGCCTTCCCTGACTTGCAAGAGGTGACGGGGTGTCCTACCTATGTGAGCCTAGTCTGCTTAACTTTAATTTAAAAATATGAAACTTTGAGCTTTTTTACTTTCACTGATAGTGAGTGTACACTCTGGATATGCCAGACATGCAGCTAGAGGTCCTAGGGTGAAATAGATTTCACATGGACCTTTTCCTTGGGAATCAGTGAAGGGAAAGACAATGTGTGATGCTGAAGTGGCTCAGGCCTTGCTCCCCACCACCCCCCATGTTCTGTGGCCTTGGGGAAGTTGCCCAACTGCTCTGTCTTCTGTCCCTGGTCATGAAATCCTTGTGGGGACTGCAAGAAAACCCACTTGAAAGACCTTATGCAGTGCTGTGCTAATGGTAGCTATGATATCATTATTGTTAATGTGACAGTCTTTCCAAAATAAGATGGAAATCAGGTCAAGAGTCTGAACACCAGTGGAGCTCTGTGATTCTTCGAGGAGTGTGAGGACTCCAGGCTCCAGAGCAAATGTGTTGCTCTTCCACATGGTGCCAGCCTCTTCAGTCATAGCATGGTGGAGTCTGCCTTTCCCCAGTTCTCTGGAATTGTGGTGACTCAAATGCACGCACACACAATTTGTTTCCTGCCCTCCTCCTTTGTCTGTGTGTTCTGATCATGGTGCCCATGGTGCATCCGGATGCCCAGGCTGCCTGAGACCTCCCATCCTGTCCCAGAGAGTGCAGGTAAAGCGTCAGAACACAACCCAAGTGCAGAAAAGCAAGAGAAGGAGGGGAGTGTTGGAAAGTTCCAGAGACTCAGCAAAAGTTCCAATGAAAGGAAAGCACTTGGAGTTTTCTGTGAAGGCTTAATGTCTTTTCCTCAGCATAATGGCGATGTCCATACCCACATCCACTACAGAAGGGGAAGAAGGAGGGGCCAAGGCTGCAAGGCACAGCCAACCCCTCCCCTGGGGCCATTCCAGACAGAGGTCTCCCTGCAGCAACCACTGGCTTCCAAGGGCTCAATTCTGGACCACAGCTGTGCTTCTCCCTCAGTGTAGTTTTATTATTGAGTGAGCCTTCCTGCTACAGTGAACGCATTATATCTGAGCTAGAATTCACCCCTGGGCATGCAGTGGCCTGAGTCCCTGGAGTGACATTCACTGAGTTCTCACATCTGTTTGTTGCCGTTAGTGACCTGATATGCAGGAAATGAGCAGGTGTGACATCCAGGCCTTAGAAACAAAGCCCTTCCTTTGCAGAATGAAAATCCTGACTCTACCAGCCACCCGAGCCTGCAGGAGTCTGTGAGGGGCCGGTGGGATGTCTATGGAGTATTTCCTGGCTTGGACCCTTCCCTGCAGCCTGAGTCCCCACCTGCTTCTCTGTCAAGAACCAGCAATGGAAGGGCGCTGGCACAGGGCATAGCCAGCACACATCAGGAGGGGCTTCCACCTTGCCCTAAGTTTGATCATGGGACCCCCACCTGGCAGGGTGACCCGTGCCATGGTTGACCTTTGTGCTGTGACAGGGCCAGCTTACACCCACCGCCCAGAGTGATTCTCCGTAAGCCACCTTTCCCTTCTTGATGTAGCCCAGTGTGGACCAACCAAGCCTGAGGCTGTCCTGCCACCTGGCTGGCTTAGCCCGCCAGTCACAGCTCACTCAGAAAGTGAGCACTGGGTGGCATTTTTGTCTTAGGCATTTTTCTTCTGTGTTAAGATAGATGGCTCTTCACTGTAAAACAAAACAAAAAAATGCATGAAAACCCAGAACTCGTTATTTTCTCTGTCCAGTGTTTGAACAAGGAGAAAGCTTAGTTATCTCCGAAGGTGCAGGGATAGGATACAGTGCAAGAAGCTCACGGCGGGAGCCACCATGCCGCTGTGGGGCCTGGGGCCAGATGGGGATTTGGGCAGCATTCTCGAGCCCCGCTCTGCTTGAGTGATGAAATATTTCAGTTAGAAATTTAAGCTTGATCTGCTGATCGTATTTTAAGGTACAACCAATTTCCAATGAATTATTTACAAATCATGTTTTGCTATGTCTCTATCATAAAAAATCTGACTCTAGCGTAGATAGTCAGAGACACGTTCTGAATTTATTATCTTTGAAGCTCTCATACTGATTACTTCATAACAGGAGCCATAGGGAATAAAATCACACTGCTCCTCTTAAATCAAACCGACCAGCTCACAGCTCTGACACGCTAATTGAGCTCTTATCGATTGCTAAATCAAAGTGTTATCGTTATTTCTGCATTGTTAGTGGGGAACCCAACTTCTTGTTTTATTGGCTACGGCAGCACTGGCTCAGAATCCCTCCAGTCATTACAGAGAACACTGCCAAGCCACTACTTCACTGTGTCACTGAGGGATTTAAGCCAAAATACATTACTTGGCAATACCATCAATTGATTTGTTTTGGAAACAATGTAAAAATATATTTAATCTATAAGAAATTGTGCTGGGATTAGAAAGATAAAAGTCCTTGTCCTGTAACATTTTACAGTTTAACTGGGAAGAGAGACAACAAACTATCAACAACAGGGTTGAGAAATGGGGCAAGTATGTTGCTGGGGTGGGGCCTAAGTGTTCGGGGAGACTTGCAGAGGACAGAGAGTGGAAGGAGAACCAGAAGTCCCCGGTGGAAGGTCTTGGTGCACGCAGCACACAGTATGTCCAGAGACCTCCCCAACCCACTCTGACTCCACGAGCAAGCCGGGTGAGCTGCTGGGCCTCGTGGCTAAGAAATCACCTGAAGCCAAGGGTGTGAAGACAAGGTTCAAGGCACTGGTATCGCATGTGGAGGCTGGCTCGAGGGCGAGCTGGCTGCCCAGAGTGGACTCTGCTAGGAGGGGGAGAGGGAGGAGGTTGTCCCAGGAACTGCAGTCTTTATGAGGGCAGCGCAGTGGCCTGAGGGCTTGGGAAAAGGAAGCAGGTTGGGAAAAAGCTGTCTGGGAGAGTTGGGCGGGGATGGACAGGAGAGATGTCTTCAGCTATCCTGAGCTCCTGTGCTTCCCGGCACCTGGCTGCAAAACACCAAGAGGTCGCCAGAGCCTCACAGCACCTGTGTCCATACCTCTGAGGAAGGTGGGCCAACTGGTACCACCCGCACCTGTCACTCCTTCCAAGAGATGGAGTCCGAGGAAGGGGAGTGTGCAGAGAGGGAGCCTTACAGACAGGAAGGCTGGGTGCTGTGCCAGTTAGACAAAGCCCCCTCGGTCAGCTAACACTGCCAGAGACACGCTCTACGACAACTCTGTAACGAGTCACTGATCAGCTAGTTCATTATGGTGACATGGAAACCTTTTTATGGACCTATTGTTTGCACTTCAGACAAAAGTGAAACAT